AGAAAAAAGCAAATCACCAAGATTCGCACAATATGACAAATTATTTATAAATTAAAAACAGTATATCTTCTGTGCCAGTAGTTAATGCGTGATTGAACTTCAAACAAACAAACAAACACACAAACTTTCACATTTATAATATTAGTAAGATAAGATGTATTAATTAAATATTAAATACTGGCTGTGTGCCCGTTCTACGCACGGGGATCCTCTAGTGGTCAGTTGAAACCTTCCTAAATAAAGAAAAACTATTGGTTTGCATATTTTCAGATATGCTAGCCAAACTATTATATACAAACAAATACAGTATCTGACAGTTTCAAGTAAAAAAAAAAAAATGCGTAATAGATCTATGAGGGGTACACTTCCATATCCGTTGGCACAAACAACTAAATTAGTAATATTGATTATTCAATTGTTTAATTCCATATATCGTTTGGTTAGTTAGGTTAGGTTAACCTTACCTAACTAACCAAACGATATATAGTTAAAATACTATACCTCAACCTCGCCATTAAACATTCAGGTTGGAAATTTCACTATCAAAGGTGCTCTTGGCCTGTCCGTACGGAACACTGAGTTATATGCGCTACCAACTTATGAATAATTGTTTAAGCCTACGAACCCAAGAGATGGATAATTGGTCTGTTGGACGTATGGTCCAGCGAGCAGCACATAGCGTTGAGAAGACACATTAGAAATACGATTTGAGCATAATCCGTAAACCTCTGTTACAATCACCCACTGCAGTTGTCTCTAAACACTTTACACAACCACCATTGAAGTGCCGTCAACGAGTTGAAACCTTATATGTAAGCTATTGGTAACGCTTATGTAAAAAATGTAAGTTTCCCAGGCATATAGAACACTGAGTCAAAGTCTTTTCCCCGGTTATAAACCCAAAACTCGATAGAAATTCTATACACAAATAAGCTCTATTTTCATTTACGGTTACCCTACATATTATTGCACTTGCGATTAATTAAATCCGTTATGTAAGGAAAAACGGTTTTAATCCAACTTGGTTTGGATTTGCTTTTGAAACTTGATCTGAAATGATTGCGGTATTTGTAAACAATATTCAATGTAAACGTATCAGTGACAGCTAGAGAAAAATTATCTTGATCCGAACAGCTGTTCGCTATTTCATATTATGATTATGTGATAAACATTGTGAGAAAACTTGACAAAAATCGCACAAAATTGGGTTTTAAACGTCCGTAAGTTTTTTTTACAAAGTAGCGAGGCCATATTTTAATAGCTAAAGACACTTTCGCCAATCCAGTGAATACATTAAAATGATTCGAGGATCTTGATAGGTACTCTCGTTTTCAGGAGAAGGCCGCGTAAAATGGCCTTTGGACCGTGACAGACGGAAGATAGACAACAACGGAATTGAGATTGAGATAATAACGGAATTGAGATGAAACCTTTTTTTCGGATTCTTGAATGTTTAAAACGTAAAAATAATCTAAAAGTTTATGATTCTGAGCAATGTACAGACAAAACTCTAATTTTATTTATATAGATTAGTACCTGTGGTGATTTTTATTAGAAATTTATTGAAGTAAATAAACAGCAAAGTTAAAAACCATCTGACCAATGTTTTTATTTAAAAAGTACGTAGGCCTATTTGATTGGCTTTGTTTTCTGAACTAAAATATCTATTTCCTGATCTATTTTTAGTTCCTGTTTTCGAAACATAATTTGGCAAAACAATTATTTATTCATTCAACAACTTGATCGAAAAATAATTTCTAAACATTGGAGGACAATTAAAAAACTTTTGAATTCTAATAAACCTAGCTGCCGTACCTGTGTTTTACATCGGAGAGGATTTTGAAGAGAAAAAGTTTGATACACGTCACATATTTCAAATCCCACTCCAAACACGTCATGTTAATACGTTTACTTCCTTAAATTAAGAATGTCAGAATCTCCAATTAACAGGCCCGTAGCAAAAGTTAAAAGTTTCACAAATCGAATCGTTTCTACCTTTTGGACCGCAAAATCAAAGAACTTTATTGACAGCATTTAAAGCTGACTTCGTTAAACATTCTGTTATCTACATTCTTCAAAAATGTAAACATTGTGAAACTTTGGAATCCCATGGGGCGTAACTCAAAGAAAACACGTTAAATGTAATCGGTATATTTGTTAACCAGGTACAGGGCTACCTCTTGAATTGATATAGATAATAAATCGAAAAATAAAGAAATATAAGTTGATTGATTATTGGCTCTTACAAATGGGTAAACAATCAAGGAACATGATTTAATTAAGTAACCACACATCACTGAGTCTATATCTTCATTCTTTCTTGTGAAAATCGCTTTGATTGTGGCTATATAAAATAGGGAAGTAATATTTCACTGTACAACGAGCTCAAAAAGCTCGAGAACCAGCAATAAGATGGAAATAACCGGCAGAACCTTTAACCATCCACTGGCTCGCTAGTCGCTACCCCAGGTCGGTCGGTAGCCGGGTAGCCCATCAATGGAACCCGTTAGGCTCGCCCCTACCTCTCGCCACAAAAGAGACAAGAATTTTGCCTTGTTCCACACGCCTTTGATTGTTTGAGGCGGGAAAACTATTTGTGTGCTACGGCCCGCGCAACACAGGATATTGTTTTCGTATTAGTTGGCCTTTTTCCAAGATGACCGTGACCGTTAACTTATTTTATGGACTCCCTTGGAGAATAATTCAAAACTACAAAGAACATTTCTAATCCCACAGTATACTAGCTATTTAAATTATAAACACTTTGGTGTTTGAAAAATATTTTTGGACGATAAATTTTGCAGCTTTTTGAAATCATCGAAGATGGCCGCTTGCCTCCAAGGACTCAACAATAGGCCTAATTGTGCGACTATAAAGCAATAACTTCCCACCTTACGCTTGCGAATTAGTACGGTACATATTTGTATCCACATTTGCCAGGACGACTATTAAGACGACCAAAGATTACATTGACATTTAGGTATTTAATCTGTAGAATAGTAATTGTTAAGTAATCTGGAAGACAACTAATTAAAATGAAGTGCGAAAGATGGGTTATGAGAGTGCTCAATGCCTGAAGCATAATCCATTTGTTTGAGGTGCGGATTTTCAAGCTTGTAGAACAAATAAATATCACAAAGTAGAAGGGCAGGGGTGAAAGTGACTGAAGTGACGGGATACCCGGGTGGATTTTCAGTGACTGGATTCCAGTGGTATGCGGTAAAATATATAGTGACTGGCTTAGCAGCACAAATTTTACGTGACTGGCTTTCCCATGCAAATGCGGTGGTGACTGCATTAGCATACATTTTTTACGTAATTATATTTTAGTATTTTTAAGAAAAAAAGAGATATATACGTTCAGATATGTCTAGGCTTAAGATATTTACCAACATATATTATATATATATCATAGTCTTGAAATATATTGGGGGGTGCAACTGACTGACTTCCAGTGTATATTTTATGTGACTGGCTTCCCGGGCGCGGCCGTGTATATATATAATTTTGAACGAATGGTGTTTTTGGCCTCTGGGGACATCAAAATGAAAAAGTAAATCGGTCCCGGGTCTAGGTCTTACCATGAGACCTACGGTAATAGCTACTTCCCTATAGGGAAATTCGCTAATAATTACAACAAAAAAAACTGCAGCTGGTACTACATTTTATGTTAGCAGAGATCAACCTGCCAATATACGGCTCTAATACAGGGAACATAATAACCGTTGAATGTAGACGGCCGGCCATCTAACCATAGTGTTTTGTTCATAGAATATACAATTCTATCTCTCCCCATGTTTGTGTTGCTGTGATAGTTGATCACATATATGCTTCAGCTACAGTTAATTATATGTTGTCGTTTAAAATTATGCGTATTCAACAGAAATCAGGTATACAAGCGCATTCTATCGTAGGCTCAATTTAGTTACGTTCGTATTTGGTCTGAACTTAAGATGGATTGAAATGTCTACCTTAGTCCATAATAAAAGATATTCTTACCTAAACGTACATTGGTTTTGTTGATTAACTAGGATTACAGACCAGGTAAACAGAGGTCTTATTTCTCACAAAAGACCCAAGCAAGATTGCACTTGCTTGTCTTTACCAGTAATATATACATAAATATATTATATATATTTATATTACACATACATATTGATATATATTTATATTACACATAAATATTGATATATATATATATATATTTATATTACAGGGATTTATATATATATATAGGGATTTATATATATATTTATATATTTATATTATTATTCATGTAAATGATATATATATATATATATTTATATATAATATAAATATATATGGTCACCATTTCAATGAAAAGTATTAAAGTGTATATCTATATATTTAATATGCCAACATTAATTTTGTATGATAATTATTTTGAAGCTGCCATGCATCCGACAGCCATGTTCAAGGTATCATTGGATAGGTCGTTGCGTGTAGATTTTCCATCAAACAAAAAATGTTTGAAATTCCATCAGGGCTCTGCCCCAGTGGCCTTCAAAGTTCCCATGTTATTCTTAGGGAGAAAATGTTTGCTTACATTTGAATAGATGAATACATTTACACTAATTTGAAACAGTTGGTTATTCTAAAATTGAAATTAGTAGAAACATTGTTAGATTTGTTGAAAAGATAAAAATGTGGTTTAAAAATTTGTGTTTCACTGCAAACGCGTATAGAACGGTTCAATGAATTTAAAAGACGACTGACAGTACAGCAGTTACATTGTTTGTTTTGATTTTTAGGATCTTTGTTTTACTGAAACTAAATAACAGGATATTATTTAATGAGTGGAGAATATCAATATTGACGGAACAATAATTTTTTATCCAATGTTATCTTTTGAAGGGATGGCATTCTCCTGCATGATTATTTATGATAGATGTACATTAATAATGATCAGAAGTTATTGATATTAGTTGTAAACTAAGCTATCAACTTTCCAAGAAAAACACACACCTCATAGCCTTCCCTGTAGCAGCAAACCTAAGTACTCCTTTTAATTATTACTATTCAAATAGGAAATAAATCCTACCATTATAAGGGAAAGTTTTAGTAGAAATCCAGTAAGATAAAAGGAAATTCGCGTAGTCTGCAGGTTTACTCCGATGTAACTATTCTTTATTCGTCGCAATGTATAACATTGGTTGGTACAAAGCCACATCAAACTAACGTGGAGATTAGAACTAGGTACTAAGGTTGATTAAGGTATGTAGGTTATGACAACTGAAATACTTCTCCGAAATGCAGTTAAGTCTTCACGGATGTTTGCAAATTGTTTCCTAATATTTGCTATAATTAGTTTATTACAGGCAATTTTATTTTTGGCATCTTCATTGTAATTCTTAAAAATAAAATTTTTATTTTTCATGTGAAATACTGGATACGATACTTATAAAAATATCCTAGCTACAACAAATTGTGGTAACATTTAATTTTATTCAGTATCATTTTTAACATTTAATCGTTCAACCTATGTCCGACAACCATGTAGACACTGCCAAATATCACCACCATTTTGGATATCACGATTGCGCAAGTCACTCTGAAACAAAACTTAAATACGATCAAAGTATCAAGGTAATAAAGTACCAAACTGCAGTAGATTGTTTGTAAACAGTTCAACATCACAGGCAACAGGCGGAGGGGGAGGTTGGGGAAAATCACTACGATACGAGTGTAAATGGTAGTGTGCACCGTCTCAGTGCACAGCCTAAACACACAACACGCTTATGTATTGTAATCTGTATACGATTCAAGTTCAGCGATGACACAATTCAGAATTTTGGATCTCAATTTCATTCGTCTCAGAAGTGGTAGTTCTTTGAGCGATGGAAGTAAACTTTTGAAGAAATACATGTCATCGTCTTCTTCTGATGAACTTGTAGGTTGTGGTTCCGCAAAACGATATTCCAGCAACTGCACTTTTCTTCTTTCTAAATTTAGCTCTTCATTTTGAATACTTTGGCTTTGCTTCCTTTTTGATCCGGGGCGCTGAAACTTACTGTTTTCTGGATTAGTAGTTGAAGTCCAAGAGGTTGTTGTAGATTGGTGAGCTTCGCTTACTTGAGCAGGTTCCTCAGGCTCATCGGCATTCTCAGGTTGTTCAGTGTGGACATCAAAGTCATTTTCTGATTGAGGAGTTTGGCCTGATTCTTCATCTAAGTCCAGTGTAGTTGCTACTTCTGAAACTGAGAGATTGCCTGGAGTAGCTCTTAGCTTCATCATAGGGAACAAAAAACTCAATGCATCAAAATAAAACCATTTGGATTTAGTAGCAGCACCTAACGCACCGACGTTTTCCTTAATTTTTTTCCGGTACACATCTCTAAGCAAATCCCAACTCTTCCGAGCCACATCTCCTGAAACAATGAGTTGTGTGAAAAACAGTAACAAAATATGATATATAAAAGAACATAAAATGCTGTACAGGCTATTTGTGGTTGAGATTTAAAACATATAAATTCTTCTCTTAACTTGTGACTATTTTAATTCCATACTGTGTCAGTAGATAATATTACTAATAATATATTTTGTCCATTTTAGGTATCTATTGACAGGTATTTTCTTTGAAGCTCTGGGCAAAACGTTTCGCATGAAGAACTGCTGTGTGGAAAATCGTTGAATAAACCACTTATGCTATTTTGGCAATCAGCTCCATCCATTCATCGGTTCTAAATCACGAACGATTCGTTGAAAATTGCTGCAGAATGTAAGGTCATGTGGAACTTACCTAACTGTGTTGGTTGCACAGACGGCAAATATGCTACAATCAAAGCTCCTCGCAAGAAAGGTGCTATGTTCTACACAGTGGCGTCATTTCACCAAATCCTTGGGGGGGGGGGCAAACACCGGGGGGTAATACCCCCCAGTAAAGGGAACATTTTGCAGTTTTGAAACAAAAAAAGAGGGGTTTAAGCTTATTTTAACTGTCAGAAGCACTTCAAATAAAAAAAAATTGTGAGTAAAATTTATTTAAATTTAGGCAGAAAGTTAATGAAACTAAGAAACAGAATAATTTTATGTTGGTAAGTTAGTCATATAAGAAACGTGATCAATAGTTCCATGATGTATTAATATTGTGTTTGTTATTAGATTCATGACCAATTTCTCTTGTACAACATTTAGCAATGAATACGGTTGTTCATAGCCTATAGTTTATAACAGTTTATTTTGGTTTTTAAATAAAATACAAGTATTTAAGAACTTAAAAGCAAATCAAATTTTATCACCAATAAAATAATTTGACAAAAAAGTACAAAAGGTTCTATTTAACTATATTAAATTGGTAGTCTACAATGTTCAAAATAAATTACGTAAAATTTATACACATGTATAATTTTAATGCTTGAATAATTCATAAAAGTAAATGACAAAGCAATGCTTCTAAAAAATCTGAATTATTATGTATATATATCAACTAGAAGTAAGTGGTTTATCGTACAGCACCAAACAGAAAAAGTAAATAATGAATAACAAAACTACTAATTTACGTAAACTCAAAATGTGCTATCTAAGACAATAAAATAATAATAATTTTTGTTTCAAATTAATGTACAAGAATATACAGATTTTTGTCTGCTGTGCTTTTTAGGATTTGACAGGAGAAAATATTTGTATATTGGCTAGTACAGCATATTTTTTTCTCTAGCCCAGGATCCAGGGGGGGGCAAATGCCCCCCCTGCCCAACCCCCCAAATGACGCCCCTGGTTCTACAACTATAAACATTTTCCTCTGTTAATCTTCACAGAAGCTGACACTCGTTTTAGACTCATGTTCATTGACGTTGTGGCCTACGGAAAGCAAAGTGGCTACAAAATGTTGAAGCCTGTTAAATCTTAAAGTTTTTTTTTTTTTTTTGAAAATGACTCTTAAACATTGCCAGCATGTTCAGCATTGAAGACAGTGACACACTGGTTCCATTCGTTGTAGTTAGTTGGCAACGACGCTTACCCTTTAAAGACATTTTTGATTTGTGCAAAAGAAGTTGACCTAAGCACAGCGCATTCTCAACTATTCGTTGTCACGCTTTACCTTCTGCATTACATCATGAGAAGAACTTGCGTAAAGAGAATATAACGCTGAATCAACGATTGCTTTAAGACGCTCTAGAGGAATACGATCAACAAAATCATAGACAACAGATTTATAAACAAGACACAGACCAGACAAGACAAGAGTCAAGTGCAAGAGTTTGTCTTGGTCTTGGACGACGATTTAACACATCTTCCACCACTGCACAGGAGGGAGAAATTTCTATAAAGACTACTTCAATGACTCTGACGGTGTCTCGTGGCAGAATTAAATGTGCTCAACGTTAAGAAATAACTTTTGTTTGTTACCCAATATCTTTCAATATAAATCAATTTGATTTACTCGTACTTACTGCATAGTGAACCATAATTAATTTACTTGAATACGCTGGAAATATGTTAGTTCTCCATCAAAAATTAGTTTTTGGCAGTTCTCAGGCTGGATAAGTTACTATTAAGTTAATTTCAACATTGGCCTTGCGGAGTTTAAAATCAACTGATACTACTAATATCGAAACGAAACATTTAAATTAGCTGTTCTAGAATAATCAGTTAACATTGAAACGAAGACCCGTGCGCAAGTTGCACTTTTAAACAAGATTCAACATTGTCTTCCAGGTGCAACGAATAAAGCCGGGTGTACACTATGCAGCAAAACATGTTATACAACTTTTGCTATATAACATTGTTGTATAACTTTTGTTATATAACATTGATATATAACCTTTGCTATACAAAACAGTTACAGACAATTTTAGTGATTCCGGTGCTCTTTTTATATGCTACTAGCTGATGTATCCGTGCTTTGCAACAGAGAGGACACTGACGCGAAAAATGTGATCTTTAATTCTGTTGTATAAAACAGTTACACATTCCCCTTTGGTTTCAGGAACATAACTCAATTGAAACTCTTAGTTTGAACAAATATCCTTCTTTAAGGCTAGGTTAACTTATAAGACTACCTAGTGCGAATGATATAAGGCGCTGATTCATGTATGGAAACAATGTACTCATACGAGTATCGAAATGTCGCGCCGAAGAGGAGGCTACAACTGTGAACTGATGACACTAATTGATATGTATTCCAAAACTACTGGCTAAAAAATGTTTATAAACATCTGTTCCTATTTATAATTGTTTGTGTTTGTATGATTCATAAAGTTATATTGAAGTTTTACAAATTAGATGTTACTACATCATAAAAAAAATATCTAGCAAATGGCGACGAGAATAATGTAAGATTTAGAAAAAAAACAGAAGATATAAATAAAGTTAAGAAATTGAAATCATTGCGAAGAACATTCAAGTTTCAGCTTGGAAATGTAAAGAAGTATGTAGACATAGGTACATTTTCTATCAATGAAATCAAAACTAGACTTGACTTGTTAGCTGATATTAAATAAAAGTATGACCTAATTCAATACAAGATCGACTTCTATACAGAAGAAAAAAAATTAACACATGAGCGGACCTACAGAGAAAGTATCGAAGACATGCTAATTAATACAAAAAGCAAGATTTTGTTATGCCCAAATACTTCATACACCTAGTATACAACATAACCACGGCCCACGGCCACCGTGCATAACTTGGTAGAATTGGCCACATCGCAAGTAGGGTTTTTTAGTGACAAACTTCCCATAAGATAACTTGGTGGACAGGTGACATCACCTCATTAATTAGCATTTTATTGATTTAAATTTAAATTTATGAAAATAAATTTATTAAAATATTGAAAATAAAACATACAGAATTGTAAACCAGAACAATATTAGGTAATTAAAAATCTATATCTGTACATTTTAAGTGGAGTCAATATTTTCATAATCCACTAACCAAGCTTTCGTAAATACACAAATACCATTATCTGCTTCCAAACAAAACAGCTGTTACAACCCTACTTGCGACGTTGCCACTTCGAAGGCCGCGGCCTGTAGTTAAAGGCGGCCCTGATAACTCTATCCCTAATCAAAATGATGGTATCAATGCAATTCCACAAACTAATACACCGATTACAGTCCTTCCTACTTCCAATTTGAGCTTTACTCCTTATGATGAAAGGGGAAAATTTACTAATTTTGCCAAAAGACTGGAGGCATTGGAGTTTTTATGACCTTATAAGGTATAAATGATCCTAAATTAAAGACTTTTACACTTTTAGATGTCTTGACACCTCTTCTACATCAGAAACTATACGACCTATGTACACCAGACAATCATATAAAAAAAGAGTATGAAAAGCTTGTAACCTTACTTGACAACTTCCTAGATCCTAAGAAAAGTAGTTTTGCTTTAAAACACACATTTATAAGTCGAATGCGAGAAGATGGAGAATCAATTTCAAATTTTGCTACAGAACTAAAAAGGCTATCAACAAACTGCAAATGTCTGTTTATACATGCTATTACGACTACAACTCATACGTGCACTTAATGACAAGGACATAAAAACTCAGTTGTTACAGAAATATAGCAGTATCTGCTACATATAGCGGTGTTATGTAGCACTTTTGAAAAGTTACTTTTTCTACTTCTAGTTATAGTACCTGGGGACCGAGCTTTGCTCGGGAAAATCATTCCCCCACTCTGCGATGCCAGCATTTACTACTTCCTTCGACATTTCCTACGTCATGGACCTGTCCCTTCCCTTCTCATAGCATTTAAGTATTACAGATAGAGTACATTAATCTAACTGCCACAAACTGTTCCCACACTCTGCAGTGCTTAACTTTACTACGTACCTCCTACTCCTACGCCACTTCCTACGTCGTGGACCTATTTCCTTCCCTTCTCATAGCATTAATAGATACATTTATCTAACTGCCCAAACGGTTCCCCCACTCTGCACAGCCAGCCTTTACTACTTTCCTTCACCACTTCCTACGTCGTGGGGCCCGTTTCCTTCCCTTCTCATAGCATTTTAGGATTAAAGATACATTAATCTAACTGCCACAGACCGTTCTCATCACACTATGCTCATACTTTACTACTTCCTAAGCCACTTCAGTGGCCTGAAATCGTGGACCTGATTTCATCTCTTTCCATAGCATTTTAGTATTTTAAATACATTAATCTAATTGCCACAAACATTTCCCACACTCCGCACTGCAAGCATTTACTACTTCTTTCACCATTTCCTATGTCGTGGACATGTTACTATCCCTTCTAATATCATTTCAGTATTTCAATTTCAGATACATAAATCCAACTGTTACAAACGGTTTCCAGTTCCCACACTCCACACTCTCGCCTTTACAACTTCCTTCACCCCTTCCTACGTCACGGACCTGTTTTCCTCCCTTCCCATAACATTTTAGGATTATAGATACCTTAATCTAATCGTCATAAACAGATCCGAAACTCCGCACGGGCTTATCCCAACTCCGCGCAGTGGTCAGAAATCTGTCAAAACCGACTGTCCAACTCCGCGCAGTGGTCACTTCGGATCCCTCGTGGCACATGCCCAACTCCGCGCAGTGGTCAATTTTGGCTCTCACAGCCTTGACGGCTGAGAGTTTGTGTTTGAACTTTGAAATTGTGTTATGCTTTATATTATGTTTATCATTTATAGTAAAGTAAAGAGATGAGATATACCTAAAACAGGAAATGAAGCTTAAAAACCACTAAGTTTGAAAAAGTCTGCGAGAAAGAGTGACTGTCAATTTATACGTTCCAAATTCTACAATACTCACTCATTCATATTACTGGGCTTATGAGCTCTCTGAACTTTAATACCAAGTTCAAAAATATTAGTTTTGTATACAACCACAGATTGCTATAACAACAGATTGTATGAAACAGAGATTACAGTTATGTAATCTCTGTTTCATACAACAGTTAGCTACACACGTCAAATTGGAAAAAAATGGCCGACAAACTTCTATGTTTTTATGACTTGTAATACAAAGTTATATCAATACTTAAAGCAGTATAGCAATTTTAATAAAACTTCAGACTTCAAAATTGACTTTATATTTAATTACTCTACGTACAAAATGTTCAAAATTTCATGGCAAGTGAGCCAAAATTGGTCAAATTAATCATCGTTAACATAAACATCGTGTATATTATAAAAAAAACGATTCATTTAAATACCTGGACTAAAAATAAAATACAAATATTAGCCTACTAAAATTTTATAAGTAAAATATTTACAAATTTACAAAAGTTACACTTATTTCAAACCATAATAAATTTAAATTAATATAGTTAAACAATAATTATAAGCTTTAAAATGCGAAGCAATTGCTTAGTAAAACATTTTACAATCGTAAATATTTTAAGGATTTCAGTACCGGTAAGTAATATCTTATTAATTTTTCAGAAAAACTAAATCATATTATTGGCAAACCTCAAAAACAAACTTATACTTTTAATTTGATTACAAAAAGAATTTTAAAATGTTTCCTTTGTTAAATGTTATTGGAAGGGATAATAAATTAAGTTTTGCTATTCATTAAAAAGTCCATTGTAGCCACTTTTAGATGCAGAGCTAAGTTTTTTTTTTTACAAAAAAAGAGATTACAGCAAATTTGCAGTATATTGCTGTATAAAAAGGTAAAATCCGTGATCGCAGCACACTAGTGTAACGTAAAGCTCATGAAATCGTTAATAAAATGTATTAGCATATTAAATAATTGTGTGCTGTGAATTTCAGAAACTTCCATACGTATCACTCTTCGCACGGACTTTTTGAACTTCTTACATTAATTGTGGTTTTTAAGTTTCACCTCCAGTTGTGAATCTATAATTTTGCATGTATAATAAGCTAAAATATTTCTTTTACGTCTTACTAAATGCCGAATTTGACGTCTATGAAGAGGATTTTCATTGAAGCCGGACCCAGACCAACGTGTTAGTGAATTTCCCATATATAGGGAATAAGTTATTACCGTAGGTATTATGGTAAGACCTGGACCCACTGATTTAATTTTTCGTTTTTATGTCCCAAAGGTCGAAAACACTTTCCGTTCGAATTCATATAAATATAGATGTCCGTTAGCACGATAATTCGAGCAAAAATTATCCAATTTTGATCAAATTGTATATGAACGTTAAACCTACATTTATTCGAACGAGTTCACGAACCAGCACGATCGCACCATGGAAACTGGGGTTTATGGGGAAAAAACGAGTTTTCCCAATTTTGATCCTAAAAGCATACATGTTTGCAATTTCTTTTGAAAGCAATTTGTAGAGCTTAAAGTCAAATAATTTAGTATATCGAAGTGTTATTATGCACCATAATGGTTACAGAAAAAAGGCCAACAAATTTTAATTTTATAATTCCCGTGTTATTCTTATGGAGAATAAGTAAATTGTTATAATTTCCTGTAAAAGGGGCGTATTTTGATTAAATTTGGAAATGCATTTATTTTACACTTAACTATTGACATTTCACAAAAACACTTATTACCCTGCCTCTTGCAGCAAACCTATGTGCACTCATTAAACTAATGCTATTTAAATAGGGAATAAATAGTATATTTTGAAATAATGCAATCAGGCAATTAGAAGTTCGCTTAGTCTGCAGTTTTGCTACGGCGGGGGTATTATTGTAATAACAGCAGCAAACTTTTTGGAAACTTCAACTCACGTCCATGCAAATGTGCTGTAGCCTTTGTTTTGGTAAAAAATTTACCAAAACAACTACCGTAGATATTAGGAGTGGCCTCCGCGCGGAGTTGGACTTGACACTAAAAGTGACCACCGCGCGGAGTTGGGCTGAACCCTTCGGGGGCCATAAAACTTTTCCTCGGATTAAATTTGACCACTGCGCGGAGTTGGGCAATCCCCCTCCGCACAACCTAGAAAGGGTAGAAAGGGTCCCCATCCATGAATTCCACATACTGCGGAGTTTTGCCAACGGTTGTGGGTTGCGCGAGAGGGGGAGGGGGAGAGAGATTACACGTGACCGTGAGGGTGGCTTCCGCTAGGGGTGGACAAACCAGGCAGGATGCTGACTGTGTTCAAAGTATGTAATGCAGTTATGCACCTCTGACTGTGAAAGGAAATGTATTGAATTTTTTACCTAACCTAACCTAACCTAACCCACTGCGACAAGCGCATAACTGCCAAGCGTAGACAACCCTGACAATCACCCTCCTTCCGGACGTCACACTCTTTCTCCCACCACCACCGTTGGCAAATCTCCGCACCAAGAGGTGGCCGAAGGCATCCCCCCCATCTACCTGACACCCGTTGGCAAAACTCAGGTTCCCGTTTAGCCAAATAATACTATCTAATCTACTAATCATAAACATACATACTGCCTTGACTACTTCCTTTACCACTTCCTACGTCACGGAACTGTTTCCCTCTCTTCCCATAGAATTTTAGGATCGCAAATACCTTAACCTAAATGGTCATAAGCATATCGCACACTCTGGATTGTTTGCCTTTACTACTTCTTTCACCACTTCCTACGTCGCGGACCTGTTTCCTTCCCTTCCCATAGCATTTTAGGATTGCAGATATTTTCCCATCCTTATGGAAGAGCTGGAGCCACTTTTATTGGTAGTTCTGTCCGGTTTTCTGTAGATGTCGTGTTTTGTTTATAATTTGTTTCTACTATTTTAGGGTTAGTTTCTCATTATTTGTGTCTCACTGTTTGGTTGTATAGCTAGAGGACGAGTTATTGTTTATGATTAGATAGTATTATTTGGCTAAACGAGGTTTTAAATTACTGAAATAACAAGAAACAAATTGTAAACAAAGCACGACATCTACAGAAAACCAGACAGAACTAACAATAAAATTAGCTTCAGCTGTTCCATAAGGATGGGAAATCATAACAGATCCCACACTCCGCACTCTGCTAGCCTTTACTGCTTTACTACAATCATAGACTAACCAACGTATGTTTTATCTATGCTACAATGTATCGAGTAAGCTTCAGTATAATCTTTGCTCAATAGTAACAAATTATGTTTTTCCTTTTGTATTGTCAATGTAATTTGCTAGTATACTGTGGGTAGATAGATGCCTTTATGAACACATGTTACAGCTTACGAGTATTTTGTTTACTTTTTTCTTGTTATTTAATTCAACCAACATGGTTACTTAGCAAACCCATAAGACTAATGTTAAAAAAATGTGACTTTCAGTTTCATTTTTCTACGTAATTAGATTTTTGTTTGCAGTTCTAACTGCAGTAAACTCGTTTTTAGGCCAAAAATAAATTATTTACAACATTTGAAAAAAATCGTCGGAGCCGTTTTCGAGATCTTGGTGCAAGCATACATACAAACAAACAAACATTGCTCATATTAGAGAATAGGATAGATAGATTAGTAACTCCGCTGAAACATAAGCTTCAAACTGACACCTCAATCCTATAAATCTAAACATATATAAATAACATAATTAGCAGTAAAATCATAATAAATTATTTGAATTTCTCATATAGGGATTAAAGGTATTACCGTAGGTCTCATGGTAAGACCTGGACCCGGGACCGATTTACTTTTTCGTTTTAAGGTCCCCAAAAACACCATCCAATTAGATTCATATAGGCCTAAATATGTATATATAATATATATATATACACACACACACATATGTATATATATTTAAATATATATATATATATATACATATATATACAGGATTAGGCAAAAGTCTGGATCCCCCCAGTTAACTTTTTACGCATTGCAGTAGGAAAACCAAACTCGGCACATATTTACGACATAAGAAATTGCACTTTTTCATCAAAGTAACAACTTTGCCCCAGCCCCCAAAAAACCATTTTGGCAGCCCCAAATTTTTAAACGTAAACACCTATCGTGTGACCCCTCATTTTAAAGGGTTTATCAAGAGAAATTGAATGGCGCAAACCAGTGGTCAATATTGCACCCCTAATAAAAATGGCAGCCATTTGACGTTTGGTCAAAAAACACTTTTTGCCTGACACGTGCCAGCAAACCTAAGCTCGTTAAAACTAATGTTTTTTAAATTGGGAATAAATATGACTTTTTTATGGAAATATTTTAGTAAAAATATGATTAGACGAGTTGGAATTCGCTTAGTCTGCAGGTTTGCTGCGGCGGGAGTATTTTTTCTTTAGTGGATTTTGATATAAATTTTTAGCAGTGAACGTGTATTGATTGGAAAAATCATGGAAGAACTATGGACCTATTTACTAACTATGGGTGAAATATTTTACCATGAGCGAAGTTTAGCCAAGGTACTATTAATATCAACTACCTAGTTGTAAGTTCTAAGTTCACTTGCCTTCAATTCCCAGCTCTTTACCAACGTCATCCCACAGCTTGGCTCTTAACTCACGGTTGTGGTACTGGTTGTCCCTCTGATTCCACAGGGCCTCTCTCTCGCGCACTAGTTCAATTAACTTCATTTTGTCTACCATTTTAGCAATACTGTATATGCGAAACAAGCGGACGAAATAAACCAAACCCACCCGACCTCGGCCAAATTTTCAAAGCGAGTGGAAGTGGAATTGACAGGGAGATACAAGAAACTCGTTAGATTGTTGTCAGACCAGTTCAGTTCAGATCAGACCCGTCCCTCCTTCCGCTGCTCCTTCCCTACAGTCGCCAGTGTATATAGGAGGGGAGACGGCGCCACATGTGGATATGTTTGGTTTTCGTCATCGCCAGATTTAGACCAGACCCGCTCCGAGCTCCTAGGTCGTCTAATCGTCTTGTCTTGTAGGAGCAGCCTAACCATAGATTAAAGGACTATAATAGATTGTAGTTTTTTTTTATATAGAAATAAAATATAACTTATGGCCATTCCTTTTATCTATGGCCTAAACGTACAAAAAAGCGCAAGCAGTCTGGGCGCGCGGTTCCGTCTCTATTACTAGCCGTCCTGTGTACATCTCTACATGCATGATTTAGGTTTTTAATTACTTGAAACGTGTATACGTAATAATACCCCCGCCGCAGCAAACCTGCAGACTAAGCGAATTTCCATTTGCCTGATTGGATTTACACTAAAATGTCTACTAAAAAATATAACATTTATTTCCTATTTAAATAGAATAAATTTAACAAGTACTTAGGTTTGCTGCATCAGGGAGGGTAAAACTCTTTTTTTTGTAAAATGTTAATAGTTAGTAAGAAATCAAAACATTTTCCAAATTTGATCAAAATATGTTCATAAACAAGCAAACTAAACAGTTTACTTGTTCTCCATAAGAATAACATAGGAATTTTAAATTTACAATTTTTGGAATTTTCTCCGTAACCATTAGGCGCATAATAACGCTTCAATATACTAAATTATTTGTTTTTTTAAGCTCTACAAAATGGTTTGGAAAGAAATTGCTAAATTTTATGTTTTTTTGGTCAAAACTGGGAAAACCCTATTTTTGCCCCATAAAATCCCCGTAAACCCCCGTTCCCAAAGTCCGATCATGCTGGTTCGCGAACTGGTTCGAATAAATGTAGGTTTACACGTTTATAAGAAATTTCATCAAAATCGGATCATTTTTTCTTGAGTTATCGTGCTAACGGACACACATATATAATATATATGCATACTATTGAATGTATAATATAAAAAACATAAGAAAAGGGGCCTGAGTAATGTTTTTAAGAGAAAGGTGAACCATTTAGTTGGTGCTGTAATTTCAATACTTATCTTGATGCTATTTGATATAGGTAGTAACAACCTTCTAATTCAAAGAACTCCCCAATGACTATAGAGTGCTTGTTTACATTAAACAACGAAACATTAAACATCTAATTGTTTCATATTGATATAAATATATATATATATATATATATATATATATATGAAGCTGAACGGATGGTGTTTTTGACCTCTGGGGACCACAAAACGAAAAAGTAATCGGACCCGGGTCCAGGTCTTACCATTAGTACTACGGTAATAGCTTATTCCCTATATAGGAAATTCGCTAAAAAACAGAACAACTAAAAAATCCACATTTGCAGAACATATACCTACTACAGACCACGCATACCGAAATCATATATAAAGCCAAAAGTACCCATGAACATTTGAGAAAACTACAAGTCACACCCCCATAAACCACACTTAAAATGTTCGTCATGACGAGAAACTATCCATTATTTCAAAAATTGCCCTTTAAGGTCGTAATTGCTTTCTAAAGGGAACTTTCCATATACCTAATGTTAAAAATACCTCAGCTGTACTTATTTTTATTTAGTATACGCCATTAGTATACGTGATATCACTCATATGATATGACTCATGTGGCGTATACTAACATTTGATTGCTTACAGTATCTACATTGATCATATCACAGATGGTAAAGTGAATGGTTTATGAGGCAGTCACATAGAGTCCAGTACTTCACCAATTTGATACCAGATGACTCATGCGGTAGCTTCCTACATTTTGTTACTGCCACAATATTGATCTAATTACAAAAGGTTGACTGAATACTTGGGAATCTCGGCAATGTCTGTAGTTCACAAAATCTGACCTCCATTTGTGTCAGAAATAGAACTGGAAATTCTATGTTCTGAATTTCTTATTTTTCAATAAGGAAAGGACAGTGCTAAAAATAAATCCTCTATTCCCTTCTACAATCTAGAGTTACACGAGAACAAGGAAAGTAAGTATAGGATACATAAACTACCGTGTTTGTATACAACATTATTTTGTTTGATTTTAAACGGAGAAATTATTGGTAAGGATTTGGAGGTTGATCTCACACAAGAAGAATAAGAAAGCGTTTATAGTTTAATTTACTGGGAATCTAAAAAAGATATGCCATATGTACAGCATATACTAGGTACTCAACCTATATCTATACAACAATATATACAAATTAGCATTCATACTGGATCCTTTATCGCTGTTTGTTATCGATTGTTTTGGAAATATGTTTGCTTATTTGTACAATATTCAAATATATAATGCAATTTACAAATACAATTTATATATCTATACTAAATACTATAATATGATTAACGTTTGCGCACAATGATTTCAAAAACGGCTCCTACGATGTCCTCCCAATTGTCAGAAATATAGGCTAAAACAATATCCATGCTAGGCTCTGTTGCGGGAAAATTCTTTTTTGGAAAAACAATTTAATTTTAATATTTTTAACATTAGTCTTATGGATTGTCAAGTAGCTATGGCAGTTTTACTAAAATGTTAACAAACGAATTGTAACACATGCTTGTAACAAATCATCTACAGTACAGTAGCAAATTGTAAAATACGGTACAAAGGAAAGGATATTCAGGAATATCCGTAGGACTACGAATGCTATTGAGCATTGATTCATTTGGGCTGTATATAACGTTTACTTACAAAGGGATGGTTACGACTGTTAATAAAACTGTTTTAACGCAAAACATTAAACCGCACTAATATTGAACTAAAAGGCCAGAGGAAAGGTCAAGGACGTTTTATAGTTTTCTATGATGTGCCGCCGGAATTGGTGCGTTGTTCCACGATCCCATAATTAGATACGACATTCCGCGATCCCAGTGACTAACGCAATAACGGACAACAGCTGATGTTATGTATTAAGAGTTTTTATATGGACGTTTATTGTAGAAATTTTCAATATAGATTGCTCGTCCACATGAAAAAGTTTGTTAGGCAAATTGAATGTCTAGCGAAAACTAATTGACTTGACAACTTAATCAATCGTAGCAAAACTGAAAATATTTTATAGTCATATAGGTTTTATTTTCTTAACCTCTTAAACAAATCAAACACTTAGAGCTAATTCTCGGTTTCCCGGTACTATATCAAGCAAACATTTAAAATAAATGTCGTATAGTTTTGCTATTATTAAAACATTGGATGATAAAAAGTGTCATAACTTTGTTATTTCACACCCGATATTGTTGATTAACGTGTCATTAGATTTTTCTTTACATTTAAGCGATTTTTTATACCATTCATTTTGTTTTTCTGGATTCTTTGTTAAAAAAATATGTTTAAATAAAACTGTTTAAATCAAATTCTTTGTTTTCGAGATATTAATGATTTAAATAATAAAAAAATAACCGCCATTTTGATATGGTGGAAAAACAAAATATTTTTTTTAAGTTCATTATACCGTAATCTTATACATGTATGTAACGATTCAATGTTCTATTCAGTGAAGCTGAAAGGAAATTAGTTAAAAGCACATACAAGCACATAGACGGTAAACTAGACATCGGAGACCCATGGCTATATTGCAAAATCTGTTTGTCTCTAAGCAAGGAACTAATGCCACAAAAGGGGTTCAGGTTGTTTAGGGGCACCCTGTAGAAAGTCGCCATCCATATGAGCTATATAGTACTAAATACTAACTTTGACGTAGGCCTATTGGCCTATTTTATTCGAAAATGGAAGACAGTTGGAGAAAAATGAGATTGGGAGACGTTGGAAGAGTGACTTGAAAAGAGGAAGAAAGTAAAGTAACAACTCAATAATATGCTGATCTATCTCGCCCACTTTTCTCGGTCTTGTTCAGGAATTAAGCGGTTGGGTTTTCCTCATTGCTTGTTATTTTGTTTGCACTTGCAACCAAATCAGTTTCGCCGTTAGAGTTAATCATTTTGACCGTGCCTCGCGGAATCACATGTGCGGGATTTTACTACATAAATATCTTTATGTATATTTATGTGTCTTAGTACATAAATAATCAAGATTGAACAATAAATTAAATATAAATCTCACAGTAGTACGGGTTAAGTTTTATCACAGATTAACAGTGTATCTTTATACTGTGGTTTTATGGGATTTAACTTCAACAGTTGTTTACCGAAATATATGACCGAAGAACCAATAAATTAACGTTTCCTTCACGTAGACGCCTTTACACGGGTACAGACTGTTCGCAGCTAGAGCTGTAACGAGACTTGCATTGTTGGCCAGTTGTACCTACTATGACGTGCAGACGATGTTTACACGGGGGTACAGACTGCAACGCAGCTAGAGCTGTAACGAGACTTGCATTGTTGGCCAGTTGTACCTACTATGACGTGAAGACGATGTTTACACGGGGGTACAGACTGCAACGCAGCTAGAGCTGTAACGAGACTTGCATTGTTGGCCAGTTGCACCTACTATGTAGGGCAAGGGTAAAGTGTGACGTGAAGACGATGTTTACACGGGTGTAAAATTGTGTAACCAGATATCTTATAATGTGTTGACTGTAGTATTATTGTTTGATCATAGTACTATGCACTTAAAGTTCCCCTTATGAAAAAGTTTATAAATGGCCATATAAAATTTTTTTTTATCTGGTTATATTTGGTTTTGGACCAAATATAACCAGATATGATCATATATGGAATCCCCCAAATATGGAAATTTTTTAATAAAAAATATATAAATAAATAAAAAAATTACAATTAAACATATTTTTACATTAAATCTTATAAACTATGCATTAAAACCATAATAAAAATTTTTAATTTGAAAATTTCAAAACAAAATTTTCAAGTAGCCGACTGGGATTCGAACCCGGGACTCCAGCGTGGGAGTCTACCCCTTTGACCACTACACTACAACCGCTTCGTATCAGATGTCTTTACA